ATATTATATTATATTATATTATATTATATTATATTATATTATATTATATTATATTATATTATAAAATTTGTCACCACCTATCTCGTTAAAACAACTCTGGGCAGTTTACAAAGCAGTTAAAATAAATTAAAATGACAGTATACAATAATCCTAAATAAATAGAAGATAAAAAAAATCCAAGGATAGATTTTAAAATTGGCAGTCACTCAGGGAGCGTCATCAAGGGGCCAGCCACTCCCAGGATTGGGTAAGATTTTTGTCACCCCATGTAAGCTGGTAGAGCCAGGACTTTAATCCTTTCCAGAAAGCTGGAAGGGTAGCAGCCCGCTGCACCTCTGGGGGGAGAATATTCCAAAGGGTGGGGGCAATGGCAGAGAAGGTTTTCCTCCTGGGCCCTGCCAGCCAACATTCTCTCACTGATGGGGTCCACAACATGGCCTCTCTGCTTGACTGGGTGGGACAGGTTGATGTGATGGAGGTGAGATGGTCTCTCAGGTAACCTGAACCCATGCCATGTAGGGCTTTAAAGGTAATAACCAACACTTTGAATTGGACCCAGAAGCAGACTGGGACTCAATGCAGCTCATGCAGTAAAGGTAATATGTGCCCTCTTTGGGATACCCAAGATTGTCCGCACAGCCACATTTTGAGCCAGTTGTAGCTTCCAGATACTCTTCAAGGGTAGCCTCATGTAGAGCGCATTGCAACAGTCTAACCAAGAGATGACCAGGGCATAAATGACTGACCGGAGAGCCTCCTGATCCAGGCAAGGGCATAACTGGTGTACCACTCGAACGTGGGCAAAGGTCCTCCTGGCCATGACTGCCACCTGCTCCTCAAGCAGAAGTCATGAGTCCAGGAGGACTCCCAGATTACACACTGGGTTTTTCTGGGGTAGTGCAACCCCATACAAAACCAAGGATGGTAAATCCTTGGATACAGAGGGGCCTCTAATCCATAACCACTCCATCTTACCAGGGTTCAGCTGAAGCCTGTTGCACCCCATCCAGACCCCCACAGTCTCCAGGAACCACAAGAGGGTACTCACGCCATCACTCACCTCACCTGGGATGGAGATGTATAACTGGGTATCATCTGCATATTGATGATACCTCATCCCATGGTGGCAGATGATCTCACCCAGTGGTTTCATGTAGATGTTAAAAAGGAGCAGAGAGAGTACCAAACACTAGGGCACCCCACAGAGGAGGGGCCGTGGGCTGGAACTCTCACTCCCGATCAACACTGACTGGGATCAACCTTGGAGGAAGGAAGAGAACCAGCACAAAACTGTGCTGCCCACTCCCAACCCCCTACGTTGACCCAAAAGGATACTAGTCAATGGTATTGAAAGCCACTGAAAGGTCAAGAAAAGCAAGGATGAATGCACTACCCCCATCCTGCTCCCACCAGAGATCATCCATGAGTGCGACCAATGCCGTTTCTGTCCTGTATCCGGGCCTGAAATCTGACTGAAAAGGGTCCAGATAATCCGTTTCCTCCAGGATCCTCTGGAGCTGCAACACCACCCCCTTCACAACCACCTTCCCAAAAAAGGGGAGGGGGG